GAGCATAGCCACAGCAAGATGGGGTGCCCAGGGCGTACCCCAAGGCTACTTTCCCTGAGGCTCATGCGGACACGGGGCTGTTCTCTAGAACCTTCTGGGAAGATGCTAAGCCAGGCAACAGCAGCGCCCCTCGATCCTGCCCCCCTCTTTTCAGTTCTGCCCCGTAAAGAACCCAGTGAGCTGGAAAGAACACGCTGCCACGTGGCTCTGACGCTGGGCGTGCTGCGGAGGGGACAGAAATCTGGGCTGGTTGCTGACAGTGGCAATCGATGGAAATGTCAGCAGTCTCTCCCGGCCTCCCTCTTTCTCTGCCTCATTAAAGGACCGCAGGAAGCTGTGCCCCGCCCGCCCCTCCGCTCCACACCCTCGGCCACATCCAAGGAGTGAGTTTTCCACCTTTCCCAGGTGGGGGGGAGTCAAGCTTTAGGAAGTCACGTGGGCCTTTGCTTTTGAGCCTCCGGTCACCCATCTGTAAGCTGGGAGGACAACTGGCACCTCCTCCCAGGGGCCTCCTTGAGGGACACACGGAATCACGCTGTAAGCACTCTTTCGAAGTGTTGAATTGGCCGTTTCAGTGCCCTCCTGCATACTTGGAAGGGAGAATCGAAACATCTAAGATGCGGACTTCGCCCAGAGCCTGGCAGCTCACAGTGGCTCAGTGGTGACTGCGGAGGGCGGAGGGAAAAGTAGGTGACTCCCAGCTGACCCGCACAGGAAAAACCTCCCTTCCTTAGAACAGCCTACTGGAACTGAGTGTGGGCGCACAGTGTGTGTATATTTTAGAGCAAGCTGATGTCAGGGTCAACTAAGCCTTTAGGGTTGTTCTAACCTGTGCCGGCTTGTTGCCTGGTGACTTGGGGGGCACATTTCTTAACCTCCCTGTGCCTCAGTTTCCCCATCATGAAATAGTGAATACGGTTGCCTATTTTCTAGGCACAAGCCTAGAAAGTTACCGGTAAGCCCCATAGAAGTCTCTCCTGTTGCTGTGATTATGGGGTGTCTGTGTGGGTTTCACTGTCACCTTCCATGGCCAGTCTTGCTGGGGTCAGTGCATCTGGAGGTCCCAGCACATGTGGTAGATGTTTCTCTGCTGGACACAACCTCTGCCCCCTTGTGGAAGTTCCAGGGGCCCAGGAGAGCTTGCTGAAGAGGATGTGCCGATGGGTGCCCCTAGGTGGCTTGGCAGAGAAGCACCAGAGCTGGAGGGAGGCTCTGTCTCACAGACAGGGAGGGGCTGAAGTCAGGAGTGGAACAGGGACCTCCAGGCAGATCTAGGCAGCACTGAGCAGGCAGTGCCCTGGTGAGACCCCTGTGTACGTGGCATCTCTGTGCAGTACTTTCCCATCTGCCCCAGGTTTCTCATGGACCATGTGATGTTCATGGAACAGGCTGCATATTTTACAAACAGAAGCTGAAGCCCAGATAGGGGATGAATGACATGGTCAAAGTCACGTGGCAGGGGAGTAGCGATACTCCCACTCTTGGATTCCTAAGCCTGTGGCCCTGCTGCTCCACCAAGGCTTTTGAGAATCACAGATTGTATGTCCCCTCTCTCTCCAGTGACTGATTAATGATTCTCATGTGGCCTTAGATTGCCTGAGATGCCTCTGCCCACTGCCCTCCAGGTCCTCGGTGTCACAGTCTTACCTTCTCCTGGTAAATCTCAGCCTTGGCTTCCCCTGGAACCCATGAGGTCCAGCTAATTTTTGACTATCTCCTGGGCCTGTTGGACCGGAAAGATATTTGCCCAGCCCCCTTGGGCCTTCATTACTATTGACCAGCGTTGCTAATGAAGAGGAGACCTACATGGTGGCACATTGAGCCTGATTGTTGGAAGCCTATGTGGCATTTGCTGAACATCTTCTGTGTGTCCCCCTCCTTGCTGGGCCACTGTGAGGCTCATGGTGTATAAAACACAGGCTGTGTCCTCATAGATGTCCCTCATATCTTAGGCGATCAGGAAAGAAAATTGCACTGATTAATTAGGCAACTATTTACCAGGTTCTGTGTGCCAGTGTTTAATTTAAGCTCTGGTCCTTGCTGGGAGCAGGATTATTATGCCCATTTTTCAGATGAGCAAACTGAGGCTAAGAGGTTAGATTACTTGTTGGGGAGCACAGAGCTAATAAATGATGACAACCGGTCTGACCCTCCAGTCTTCCTCTAGCTCCTGGCTGCCTTCCCCTTGTCTGATGCTGGTTTTCTCTGAATTCTTTCTGGGAGGGTGGTGGGAAGGAAGAAATGGTGATAAGAACCAGTCTGGCAGCTTCTGGGGTGACTTGGAGCCCCGTTTTTGTCACTGAGTGGGGTTTCAGCGGAGGGAGCCCTGTCTTGACCTAACTCCCTGGAGAGGCTCCCATCTGCGCTTCTTGGAGACGGCTGGAGGTGCCATCCACCATCCTGCACGGTGGAGCAGGAGGCCTGGGCAGCCACCTTTGGGCTCCGACCCACGGTATCCCACGTGGCCTTGCCTTGTCACCCCGTCTGCTAAACAATGGCCTTGGCCCTTTTCAGTCCCACGTTCTGCACTGGGACTTTCCAGGAGGTGGTGGAGAAGGGCGGGGACTGGCATCCAACAGTGGACCTCAAGCCCAGGGAGAGAATTTGCTGAGCCAAGCAGGGCCTCAGGACGGCTGGGGGATGACCCAGGGTGTGGGCTCCAAGCGGTGCCCAGTGGGAGCAGTGGTGGGGCCATCAGCCAGAGCACCCCAAACCAGGCCACCTCCCAACTGTCCCTGCCTCCTGGTGAGGGAGATCAGCGCTGCCTATAAGGCAGCGTCTACTGGGGGGAGGGCTTCTTTGAGTGAGCCTCATGTCTTGGGGTTATGAATTTGAACCCCACAGAAAAAACCTGTAATAGTTCTCAGCGTCACCTTGCCTCTGGGCATGAGGCCCCTCCAGCTGCAACATTCAGCGAGTCTTCAATAATTAAGGGACTGGCCAGCTTCCAGCCTCTGCCTCAGGTGGTCAGGGGAGCTAGGTGTAGGGAGAAAAGAAGGTTTGGGTACAAAGGTTTCACCAGGAGCACGTTTGGGAAATCACGAAGGCTGGGGTCGAGCCCTCTTCTGTTCTGAAGGACACTGGGGGCCACTGAGGGGGCTGACAGTGTAACGTGATTGCAGTGGCTGGGTGTCAAGGAGAACTGACCACACTGAACAGAACTGCAGCATGGGCTCGAGTCCCTAAAATATTGACTTGTTTCCAAAGCATCTCACTCTTGTGGGTTGTGAACATTAAAGAGTGAATTTAAACATAAGCCTTGCTATTAAGCTGCACAAAACCTGTTCATCTACTCAGCAAGCAAGCTGTGTCCTGACTCTGCGCCTGGTGTAATGCGAGGTGCTACAGGTAGGCCAGGTAGTGAGACAAGTAGGGCTACCTGTCCAGGGAGCCCACAGGTGGGGCTGAAGAAGGCCTGCTTGAGCCCACCCAGGAACAGTAGGAGACCCCACTTGCACCCTGGGTCCTTTTACTCTCAGCAGGAGAGGTGGCGTTGCCCGAGCTTTTGGAAGGCTCGCTAGGCTGTGTAGGCGAGGTGGCTGTGGGGCCAGGGTCTTGGAACCGCAAACATGCTGAATTAGCAAGGCCTACCGACCTCGGCTTTTCATGCCTCCGGCCTCTGAGCTGGCTGCTGCCCAGGAATGCTCACAAATATAAAACTGACTTTGTTTTCAGAATGTTCTGGAACCTGGACTCCAAAGGCTGCATAAAGGCATCCTTGTGGGGCTGGTTATCTACTGGGGAAAATCATACTGGGGCCCCAGACCAGAGCATCGCAGGGGATCAGCCCCCGAATGCCATGTGTCAGCACTGGGGCAGGGTGGGGAGTGGCTCTGGCTCTGCTGCCGGCTGACCTGAGAGGTGTCTCACGAGGAGGATTCTTGTGGGTTCTGGGAGTTGGGTCTTTTGACCAGTTCTCCTGGCTGGAATTTCAGAGGCTGAGCTCTCTCTGGCTTGGCATCCATGGGGCCTGGGTTGCTACTCTGGAAGGTAGCAATGCGAGGGCCTCGGTCAGGCTGCTTTTCAGCAGGTTTCCAGATCCAGGACACACAAGGCCTGAGTCTGTGGGCGGGGGCTACCTGGACTCCTGCCACTCCCTCCTCCCTTCCTCTGACTGCCACTGGGGCACCGATCCCTCAATCTGGGTTCTGTGTGCCTCACCCAGCGTTGGAGGGCACTTCGTGCTTCTAGTTTGACTTCCCACCTGTGAGAATAACTGTTTGTACCTCCAGCTCCCAGATTCCGCTCCCAGAAGCGTGCTCAGCACATGCTCCACCCAGGCCTTGCTCCCTGGAGAGTGGGTTATGGCAGCTTCCACCCTCTGTAACTCTGTTCATGCTAGCTCTGCGGCTGTCACCTCCTGGTCCTTCTGTTCCTGCCCGTGTTACAGCCAGTGAGGACCTCCTCTGGCCCCACCCTGCCCAGCTGCTTTGACTCCTTTTCTTTGAAAAGCCTGCTGACAGTTTGGCCTGGCAGGCCCGGGCTGAGAGTGTCCCTGCCCTGCGGCTCTTCCCCTGCACAGAGCAGGAAGTCCTGCACAGAGGTGGCCACCCCTCTGTTGGGGACACTTTGAGGGTGAAGAAGGATGATGTTTGTGCCATGCCTGCACATGGGGGGCCTCCTGTGACCTTCTGTCCCCTTTTGGTTGTCAACCTGGGGCTGCCTGACGTTGGGATCAGCAATGTGGGTCTCCTAAAATGCAGGTTGTGGTGGGGAGTCCTGGACTGGATGTGGGACCTGGTTATGAGAGTTGATCCACCTGTTTCATTGGAAAGGTAGCCACCTTTTCAACATGAGCCTTAGTTCCTGTGCCAGGAGCAAGGCTTTGGTGGCACTGTGGGTAGGAGGGGCCAAGGGGCCTCGTGACCTGTGACGTGTGGGGCAGGAAGTAAGAGCTGCTGGGCAGCGTGAGGGCTCGTTTTCTAGCCTCGAATTTGCTTCTTTCAGGAAACATCCCTCAGCAAGAAGTGCTAACCTTCTGGCCTCTGTCCCCTCATAAGCAGGTGACTGTAAGGACATGTCTCGGGAGCTGCAGGACGTGGACCTGGCCGAGGTGAAGCCTTTGGTGGAGAAAGGCGAGGTGAGTGGAGATGCCCCCATCACATGCACAGTCATGCACGGGCACAGGTGTGTGCACAGTGTGAACACACATGCGTATGCACACACACGCACACACATACACGTGTCCACCACTTCCTGTTTCCACAGGTCTCCTTGTCAAAGGGACAAGAGGTACCTGTTCAAGTCACAGCTTGGCCACTAAGTGCTATGGCACTGTGGGCTGGGCCCCTTGCCCAGTCTCTGGGCTTTTCTGCCCGCACCTCACTGATCCCATTTGTAAAGTAAGGGCATTGACCTAGAGTTCCTCGAAGCGCCCCCTACTGCTGTGGTTCTATGCTGTGCTTCCAGCATGCAACAGGAAGCCCACTGCCCACAGGCTCTGGCTACCCCATAACTTGGAGGTTAAGGTCATACACATACTCTGGGACCAGACTGCCTGAGTTCAATTCCTGCCTGTGACACTCAGCAGCTTTGTGTCCACCACTGGCAAATCCTTCAACCTCCTCACGCTCCAGTTCCCCAACTTTAAAACACTGGGGCTTACATCATGGGGCAGAGTGAGGATGGAGTGGGCTGTCGATACGAAACAGTCAGAACCTTGTCTGGCATGGAGGAGATGAGCAATGCACATGAGCTCTTGCTGCTACAGTTTTTATCATCTTTTTGGTCAAACCTTTCATGTCAACCAGGCCTCCCTGTTAGAAAGAGTAGCCCCTGCCCTACGACCTGAGCAGGCGCAATCCATCCTGAACTAGCTGTTCTGACAATGGCTGTGATAAGCCTTTACATTTACTATAAAGGTGACATTGTATTTTTAAACTATGTTCACATCCCAATTCTCACTGAGCCGCAAAACTGCCTGTGATGATGCATCTTTTAAAAAATGTGAAGCTCGGGCTCAAAAGTGAAGTCACTGTAAGGTCAACTAAATGCTTTCAAGACTGACAATTAGAGTGTATGAACCAGGTCCGGCAGGCCGTCTCTGGGCCAGCCACATTCCATGGCTCGCTCGTGCTCACTGACAGGATGAGACTGTACTTGGGTAGATACCAGGTTCTGTGATTGTTCCCTTTTTACAGAAGAGCAAGTTGAGTCTCATGGAGGTTAATTTGTTCTCAGTTACATAGTTACAATGTGTAGGGCTTAGAGCCAAAGTCAGGCCAGCTGCCTTTGGTGAATGGACTGTTCATTTGATTCCTTTGTGGCTCTGGGTGTGACTGCTCTTTTAGGTCCGTATGTCACAGACTTTTCCTTCTGTATTTTATAGATACAGAAGCTAACGTCTGATGGGAGGGGAATTGTCTAGATAGGTGGCAACTGGGTTTAGAAGCCCAGGGAAGCTGCAGAATGCTTGTGATGATTCTACATTCAGGGTCTACAAATGTTTTCTGCCAAGGGCCAAATAGTAACTATCTTAGGCTCTGCGGGCCATACCATCTGTTGCCAACTACTCAGCTTCACAATTACAACATGAAAGTGGCCATAGCAACGTGGAAGTGAATGGGCCTGCTGTGTCCAATAAAACTTTATTTACAAAAACAGGTGGCTGGCCATGGTTTACTGATGCATACTGTTGACTATGTGTGCTCCAAATCCAGATACCTCTGGTGAAAGATGGAATTTGGGCTGGAAACTCAGAATTACAGGATTGAGGAAAAGTTGAGAGGTCTCTGCTCTCCATGTCCACCCATGAAGACTGAATTTTAATCCCGATGATGGGCAGCCAGGGAAGAAATTCAAGGACAGTGACATGGTCAGGTTTGAGATTTAAAAACATAGCACCTGGATGGAGATCAGGAGACCAGTTAATAGGTAATTACAGTCTTGTACCTCACAAGCTTGTGGTCAGCTTAGACTTTCAGATCTTTTTTCGCCAAGGCTATAGTCAAAAAGGAATCCAGCTAATGTGTCTTTTCTGCTGGACTGTTCTTTGAGATAAAAAGGAAAGTCTCTCTTAGGGAGGCTCCACAGAGGAGGGAAGGTAGATGCAGACTCAGCGCTTGGAGAAGCCCATGTGTTACATTAGTTCTTTCTCTGTCCAAGGAAACTTGATGAAACTGACCATCTCCCTTGTCTCTCCACAGACCATCACCGGCCTCCTGCAAGAGTTTGATGTTCAGGCAAGTAGAGGATGTGGACTCCTTTTTCTCTTCCCTACTCTGTGTTCTCTCTTTCCCTCTTCTTTCCATTGCTTTAAAGTAGATTGTTGTTCAGACATTGGGGTCAAGGAGAGAAAAGGAAGCTAGTTTCCCACACTTGGCTCCTTCTCCTTGGATAGAAGCTGGTTGGAGTTCTGGCCAAGGAAGCCTGTCACTCCCTGTAGAAGCAGGAGGGAGACACAGCCCCTTCAACTCTGTCAATCTGGGTAGAGCTGTGGGATATGTGGGGGAAAAATGGAGAGACATTGGGTGGGCTTTGGACCCTGTGATGGGAGGGAGCAGAAGCAAAGGCTTAATGTCCTTGACTCTGCTTGGGAAAGCAAAATCAGTCTTCTCTGTGGCTGACCGGCTCCATCCCTGCTCAGGGTTGGCCTCAGGGCAATGGGGAGTGGGTGCTCTTGAGTCTTTTCCAAGAAAAAGCTTTCAGGAGAGTGGGCTGGCCTCTTTTGGATGAGGGTCAGGTCAGAACCCCAGGAGCTGTAAATCCTGTGCTCATAGTTATCCCAAAGCCTGTGTGGGCCCCAGGCTGTGCTGGGCCCTGAGGATGGGACAGGAAACCTCAGCACAGTGAGGTCTTGTGGGCTTTCCCGAGAAGAGGAGAGGAGCAAATGCAGGTAGATGCAGGTTGACGTGCTCACCTGAACCTCTGCCTGCGCACCACCCAGGTACCCCCGTCTTCCAGCTCATCTGAGCTCTGCATCTCCATCATCTATTCTGCTCCTTTTCCCAAAAACCACTCCACTCTTCCTCCTCGATCTGTATACCAGTGATTGGCCCGCACCCATATCCAGAGGCTGGGAACCTTGGCATTGCCCTTGGAAGGGAGGGGAAAGAATGGGAGAGAGGTTGGGAACAGTGACTATTGTGAATGACGGCTGTACAAGTGCCTACCTGAGTTTGGTATCCAGGCAAGTAGAGATTTGCCTTTTCTTGGCTCTTTGACACAGAGCAAGTTGCTTCAGCTCCCCTCAGCCTCAGTTTCCTCATCTGTGAAATGGGGAAAGCCACTCCAGTCTTGTCTAAGTGGCAGTGGAGAGAGGATGACGGCAAGGACCCTGATGTGATGTTTCCCGGTCAGTGCTGGGCCAATACCACACCCTGTCTACTAACTCTATTGTGAGATTTTTTTCGGTGTGTATGTATGTGGTTAAGTACACATAACAAAAGTTACCATCGGGACCACTTTTCAGTGTACGACCCAGAGGCATTAAATACATTCACATTGTTGTGCAAGCATGACCACCATCCATCTCCAGAGCTGTTTTCATCTTGTAAAACTGTAGCTGTCCCCACTAAACACTAAGTCCCAATGTCTTTTTCCTTCCGGCCCCTGGCACCTGCCATTCTACTTTCTGTCTCTATGATTTTAACTACTTTAAGTATCTCATGTAAGTGGAATCATATAACATTTATCTTTCTGTCATTGGCTTATTTCACGTAACATAATGTCTTCAAGGTTCATTCATATTGTAGCATGTGTGAGACTCTCCTTTTCTTTGAGGCTGGATAATATTTCATTGTGTGGCTAGACCACAATTTGTTTATCCATTCATCTGTCAGTGGACACTTAGGTTCCTTCCACATTTTGGCTGTTGTGAATAGTGGGTGTATAAGTATCTAGCTGAGTTTGTGCTTTTAATTCTTTTGGGTATATGCCTGAAAGTGGAATCGTTGAATCATATGGTTATTGTAGACTTTAAAAATCTTGGTTATTGATTTGCAAACCGGAAAACATAGTTTATCTGTTCCCTGTGAAGAGAATTCCTCCCTTTTGTGTTGTTCTTGATAATTTGCAAAGCCCAGTTACGAGTCCATTTCCTGAGCCAGGTAGTTGGTAGAGCAGACACTAGGAGTGCTGGCCCCAACTCCTGGGGCAGGTCGACTTGGAGGCTGATTAGTCTGGGGTGGGCGAGGGTACTGCACGCTCAGGACGTCAGCCAGTGGGGACCTGAAGATCATGGAGGGAAGCCTCAGAGAGGAGCTGGGAGAGGCAGGATGAGGTCTGCCCACATTGGTCCCAGCCTGGGCTGAGCCCTCTTCGCTAATCCCAGAGCTCTCCTGTGAAGTTGGGGGCATTTTTTCGATAGTGCATCCTTTGTTCCTTTAATAAACACCTGCTTGAACCTACATTTTAGACTAAGAGCTCAGCATTAGTGAGCATGGAACATACCCCAAGCATCATTTTGAGCATGTCACATGTTTTGCTTATCTAATGCTTGAAATGAGTCTTACACCCATTTTACAGGTGGAGAACCTGAAGCACAGAGGTCAAGTCACTAGCCTAAGGTCTCGGGGTTGGAAAGGGGTAGGGCTGGGTGTGAACCCAAGCAGTGTGCTTGATTGAAACCACTCCTGACTACCTGGAAGGGGAAGGCAAACACACATATGAAAAATTAAGTGAACATGACAATTCCAACTACTGTACGGTTTGGAAGATGATAGAGCAGGCTGATGTGATGGGGTGTGGCCTTAAATTGAGGGGTCAGGAAAGGTTTCTGGAGGAGGTGACATTGAACTGAGGCCTGAATGATAGATGGAGCCAAGCAAGTGACCCAAGAAGATTAGGGACCGATCAGTCAATGCAGAGGCGACAGCACTTGCAAAGGCCCCTCTGGCTTGGCTTCTGCACCAGCCAGGGGTGAAACGAGTTTTTCCTGTAAGCTGTTCGTAGGCTCAGCCTTCCTGATGAATCACAATATTTGAGCTCAATGTGACTACTGAATGACACTTTGTCAAGCTGGTTCCAATCTTTGTATAAACTGTGTTGCTTTGGGTTTGGCTCCTAGATCTAGCTGACTCACCATATTTATGGAAGTTCCCCCAGATTTCCAACAGTCTCCAAAATCTTGGCTGTGGGTCACTGTAGGGTTTCCTTCGGAAGATGCAGCACAGTGTGATAGCTGATGTTCTCTGTGTCCTAAAGGGTTACTGCTCACAGGGCCAGGAGCAGAGAATGACAGAGCCATAGTCAAGGACCCAGCCTGGGGACAAAATGACAGTCTCCTGCCTGCTGGGGATGTCAGCATCCTCTGATGAGCCAGACCAGGGTCCAGGCTTGCCCCTGCTCTCTCGTTGAATCTTTGGGGACTTGTATCATCATCCGTACTTTCAAATGAGGAAACTGAGGCTCTTCCATGGCCAGCAGCTGTGAAGGGCCCCAGGGAACCTCACTCTGTCTGGCCCAGCCCAGTTCTCTCAATCAGGATGCATTACTGCAGCGCTAAACCTGGAGGAGCCAGCTAGGCCTTGCGGGCTAGGTTTCATCTCACCTTTGCTCTTTCTATAAAAAAATATCTGCTCAGGCAGTAATTGGCACAGAACTTTGGTGGACTAATGTTTAACCCATTGAGGGTGAGCTGGTGTGGGACTCAGGAGCCGATACACCTTCATGGGGACCTGCCTTCACCTACTTCTTTACTTGCGTCTCATTGCCTGTTGAAATGGGCCCTGCCTGGCCAGTTCGTTGGAAGTCGAATTTAAGGAGTCAGAGCTGCCTCATTGTGTATGTGTGAAAACAGCCAACGTTATTTCTTGAAAAATATTTGGTGCTCCAGCATTTTGACTCACTCAAGCAGGCTCACTTTTCCTTTCCCAAAGTAGTCAAGGAGATATATACACAAATATATATGTACGTATGTTTCATGAATCAAAATAGACAGCATAGCTCAGAGCTCTACAGTAGTGAGAAGCTGCTGGGGGGTTTGCTGCTGGCCCCATTGTTGGGCGGCCTATCTCAGAAGACAGCTCTGCTGACAGAGCAGATGGCCTCGCGGCCTTATCTCTCCCTGGCTGACATCACCTTAGGGTGGGCTGTTTGATTTGGCCCAGGTGATGTTTTAAGGTAAATCAATTGGTGCCCGGGCATGTGAGGTTCTGGCAGTTGCTCCCAGAACTCTGCTTTACCCCTTGGAGAGGCTCCGGAGCCCTCAGAGCTCGGGGAAGGGTGGGCTGCCGGCCAGAGATACTGTGGCCACAGGAAGGATGTGGTATGATCTGGCTTTGCAGAGGAGGTTCTGGGCAGTTGTGTTTGCAAATTTGATGACTGGAGTAGGTGGGAGTATTTTGGGTTCTGGCTTATTTTCTTTGACTAAGATTCTAGAATCTAAGAATATTCAAGTTGGCAGGTGCTTTATGATTCAGCCCTACCCCTTCTGCTGCAGGTGGGGAGGCTTTGTTGAAGGCCCCTAAGGGGAGGGGAGGGAGCAAGTTAATATTTGCATGCCCACTCATTGTCTCAGCTCTTCTTTGACAAGGTAGGGAGATATTACCCTCTTTGGCAGATGACAGACCAGTCTGGAGATGTTAAGAAACTTGCCAAGGGGTGCTGTCGAGATAGTCCTACATTTCGGCCCACTTGACCCCTAAATATGTAACAAACATGGGAGCCGTTTTAGCTGATATCTGTACACCAGAAACTGGGCTGACCTCTCTTCCTGCATCATCTCATTTAATCCTCACGACAACCCTTCAAGAGAGGAATTATTGCTCTCTTTGTTTTATAACTGCAGAGTGAGGCCCAGAGAGGGTTTAAGGGATTTTGCTCAGTGTCACTCAGTGATGAGAGAAATGATGAAATCTGACTCAGTCTCCGTGTCTGGAGCCAAAGTCCATGTCACTGACTGGAGGTGGGGGACAGAATTGAGCCCTCCATCCATCATTCTCCCCGCGGCCCCGGATCGCCTCTCCTGCTGGATTTGTTGTTTCTAATTCCTTCCACCTGGATCTCTCCCTATACAGATGGTTTGATCTGATTTGGTTTGGTTTGGTTTCCATGGAATCTGTGTTTGTGTGCTCACCAGGGCTCTGCTGGCTGGGAGCTGATGTTACCCTCCAGGCCTCTGGGCGGAGGGAGCGGAGGGGCTGGGGCAGGAGGGTGATGGGCAGTGTCTCCTGAAGCCTGGCTCCAGCTCTGGAAGTCCCTGTCTGGTGGAACTGGGCCAGAGGGACATCTGACCTTGTTG